CTGATTCACCAGCACACATCGCTGATCTGTCTGCCCACTATTTAACCGATTGGCTGATCGCTACTCGAGAGGCAGTCACCTCAGGCTCTTCACCATTTCTCTCCCGCGCTGTGCCTGCCGGCACAGCGCCGGATCGGCACCTCACTCTCTGCTCGCTCTCATTGCTCTGTACGCCCTTCTTGTCTCAGTTCTAATAAAGGCATCCGCCATAAAAGCTCAGACACACCCGTTAGTGTACAGGTCCCTGACAGCCCGCACTTCGTCCACTTCACTNCCTTAACAATTTGTATTGAGTGCTTGTATCATAAAATTTGAAACCCTTGCTAATAAAATAGTCTGAAGAAGTGATAAAACCAGTCCGGGGTTTCCCCTCCATAATCAGCCGCTAAATTCCTTTTCCAATTGTGAGACTCAACAGCACTGAAAACTGTTGCCAGCAAAACTACGACTAAAGCTGACGCACAACTGTTCCTTCCCTGGTCTACTCAATAGACTGTATAGTGCAAGTTTCACGCGTTTGCCGCATTCGGTGATGAGTAATACCGCAACTGGGTGAGGTCGCTGAGACTGCATCAGGAACAGGAATGCTGTCCGCTTTTCCGCTGTGTAGCTGTACAGATGACGTAAGTGAGCGCTAACGTTGGCTGTACAGTTAAAGCGGAAAAGTAAACAGCATTCTTGTCCCTGCACCCAAACATCTGTCAGTTGGTGTTGTCTGCTAGCGTCCCCTTTTATTATGCTTCTCGATGCAACTGCGGCTGCAATTCATTTTGGTGAAAAGCGACAACTCATCGGTTTTCGCCCAACAGATCCAACATGGGAAACTGTGTTAATTCTGGTCAACTGCAGTCCACCCAATTCGCCCTCGACCTGCTGCAGCTGTTGCACAAAGATGGAAGTAATCTGGTGCTGTCGCCCTACTCGCTCGTATCTGCGCTAGTGATGCTCCTTCCCGGGACGGATAGAGAGAGCAGAGCCCAAATTGTCAAGTCCTTGTTTGATGCAGATGACAGCAAGGGTGAGAATGCTGACAAATATGTAAAGTTGCTTGCGGCTACCAACAAGGCTAATCTGCTGAAAAACAAGGACACACTGAAAGTTGCCAACTTGCTGTATTTGCACAAAGAGTAAGTCGGTTAACTCAATAACAAATTAATTATGCGACTAATGGTTAGTAACTAATTCATCTTTATTTTCTTTTTTAGTTTTACACTGAAGCCCGAGTATGTGTCGGTTCTTACTAAAGAGCTGAACGCTACTGGAAAAAGCTTAGATTTTCGTAGACAAGAAGCAAAAACACTTGACACCATCAACTCTGACGTGTCCAAGGCTACTAATGGACTGATTGATAATCTTCTGGAGCAAATCAGCAATGAAACTGTTTTGATTCTGGTGAATGCCATTTACTTCAAAGGATTATGGAAAAAATCATTTTGCAAAGATGAAACAAACGAAAAAGGGGAATTTCGTACTTCATTAGGAGATGTCATCGAAACACCGCTGATGTTCATGCGAAGGAAATTGCCATACGTCTTTGACAACGAAACTGGCACCCAGGCTGTACAGTTGAACTATCAAAAGAAGGGCAACATTGCTATGGTGCTCATTTTGCCCGGAGAAGGTGTGCCAGTGAGTAGCTTCCTCAAAGGCGAACTCACATCAAGCAAACTGTACGACATTTTGAATCTCTTTTCTGTGGGACCGAAAGTCAACCTTATTTTGCCTCGATTTAAACTGTCCACCACACATCAACTGATTGAGCCACTTAGCAAACTGGGCGTCACTGATGTCTTTGACTTTTCAAAAGCAAACTTAAGTCATATATCATCTTCTGGCCCTATTTTCGTCACCGAGGTCGTACAAAAAGCGGTCATTACCGTCGATGAAAAGGGAACGAAAGCGGCTGCTGCGACTGCTTATTCAATAACGTACAGCTTGGGAGCGCCTCCCAGAAAAGAAGAAGTCTATTTTACAGCTGACCGTCCCTTTATCTTTGCACTGGTCACACAGGACACCCCCAAACAAGTGCTCTTCATTGGCGTCGTCGAGGACCCGTAAAAGTGACCTATTACTATTACTATTTTATTGTTGAAACCCTTCTAAAGTTCATTTCCACGCTTCTGTCCCGTGTTTCTCCTTGATAATGTAGAAGTCATCCACCACTTTGCCGCCCTTGTCCTCTGACAGCTGTTGAATGTGAATGTGCGTCCGATTGAAGACCTTCATGTGGGTGAAGCCGTAGTCCTCGATGATGAAGGCACTGAAGTGCTCTCGGTGCTTTCGTATCGCCGTGTGCAGCTCACGGTTGCCCGCACTGCCCGTGATGATGTGAACCGGTGCCTTCGGATTCTTGTACACATTGTGCGGGTCAGAGGTGCCGTTGAAGGTCTTGTTCTGGTAGATGGGCCACAGTCGTTCTAATAAATAAGACAAAATAATCAGTATTAACAGTAACAGTACAGATTACACAAGGAAGTGCTAACCATAATTGTGCTCGTGTCCATAAAACTGTGTCAAAATGAGAAAAAGTAATAATGATGAGTATTCAAATAACATTATTTAATCAGGAAAAACTGTCTTACCTGAACATCAACACCGTAGTCGTAAAAAAGCTTCTCAAAGCCGGGCCATCCAGCGGATGAGTTTCCATTAATGAGCAGATCATTTATGTAAAACTGAGCGTATAGTGGGCGGTGACCGAGGCTGAAAAGTGAGAAAGTGGAGAAAAAATTAGAGTGATTTTTCAAACACCTCTTTTCCTTACGTAATAATCCACGGGTGCTTGGCCCTGTTCTCCGGTTTGTTCGCCTCCTCAAGGTCCTTTTTGAGAAAGTTGTACTGCGTTTGAATTTGATGCGTTCCGTACTGCGTAAAGTAGTGCAGCTCGGTGCTGAAGGCGACAAAGTGAACTGGCCCAATGTTGTACGACCAGAAGATGTTGTTGATCTCCTTCTGTCCTTGAGAGTGCATCGAGAAGCGGTGGTTGTAGTTGGAGAAGTTGCTGAAAAAGAAAATAAAAAAAGTTTTAAAATAAAGGTTCATTGGCAAACATCACCAACATTAAAACTTACTAGGTATGCTAAGTTGTTGAATGGGCAGGGAAGATAAATAACGTCAAGATAAAATTCATTCTAGACCTTCAGCTTAAAACAGAAAAATACCTCATGATTGCCCGGACAAGTTTGGTAGGGAAGATAAGCGGCAATGGGCTCAATCTGACGCATGAACTCATCGCCTACGAGAGCATTGTCAGTGTGAAGGTCTGAGTTTTAAGAGGGAATAGAACGAATGTAAAGATTAGTTAATCTGATTACTTTTTCACTGATAAGATGAACCAAACCCGACCATAGGCCATATCTCCGACGTGGAGCAGAACGTCGTGCTCGTGGTTCTGCACCTCCTCGGCCAGTCGACCTAGTGTGCGGCCGTTGATGTTGCCCAGATCGCCGTAGATGACAAACTTTGGCGACCACTCGGTGCCCTCGGGAAGCGTCTTGAACCAGTACAACGGGCTCCAGCCCTGGTCAGAGCCACAGTGGTACTGGTACCGGGTGTTCGCCTTCAGGTTGCTCAGGTACACACGGTGGATGAACATGAAGCGCTTCAGCGGCCCACCGTCGGTGAACTTGCTTGCCTTGCCATGGGCGACCTCGTTCAGGGCGTCACCGACGCCGAACTTGCAGCTGGAGGCGTGGGTGGCGTTGAAGGTGGTCCAGGTGACGACAAACTCATTTTGGCTCTCTTGATAACGAAAAAAAATTTAGCAATCGTCAAAAAATGAATCAACTTACCGCCCAGCGAAAGGTGGAGCTGTTCTGGCTGCACGTGAAGTGCGTGCCAGTTTTGCTGTGCGGAAACTGTGACCAGGAGGGCACTGAGGCCGCAAATTACCACAGACAAAAATAATTTGGTCATCTTCTCTGTCTAAACAAAGTGCTACCAGAGCTCAAGTTTTCCCACCTCTATAAATGCGGTTTTCCGATTATCACTACTCACAAAGACAAACATCAAGATAAGATTTGCAAAACATATAACAAAAAACATTAATTGCTGATAAGGTTTCCGACTACTAGTCTTTATTTGGTGAGAGCACTTTAAACAAATTAAGGGGTGCACACCTGACAGATTCCACCACTTAATTGATGTGTGTACAGAACAAGGGTGAGAACAGGAGGGGGTTTTGCACCTTGAGCAGTAGCCAAATATTATTAATTAAGTAGTTCCGAGATTAGCTTGCTGGGGTGCAACCGCGTTACCGATATAAAGTACATCGTGCTCATCTACTCCTTGATGTTCCTCTTATCTCCTTATCTTTAGCTCCGGCTTTAACATTAACAGAAATTGACTCAAATGAAGGTCAACTTTGTGCCGGTTGATTAGATTATACAAATGGAGCTAGAGCAAGAGATGAAAAAGCTGAGAAATTCGAAATGTTCAAATTGAAAGCTTCAGTTGACCTTTTCAGTTGTCGTACAGCTCACTTTTTCTCAGCATGGAGGGCAACACCGAGTTGAGTCCTTTTCACACTATTTTGGCGCTGTTTGAAACTGAGGACGACGACTTTGGGCCGACGCCAGGCAGGTACACCGACTTTGAGAAAGGAAAACAAGGGCACCAAAACAAGGAAGGGTGCACCTCGCGTCGCTGCAACCCACTCGTCTTCTTTCCCATTCTCCTCTCTTTTTGCATTCCCTTTCTGGTCTTCTCATGGTACTTCAGCCTACTTCTCATGCCTGTTCTGGTTAACAGTTTCTATTAATTGTTTCTTTTTCTCCAGCTACATTCAAGGTCTAGTGGCGAAGCACTACCACCCGATTCTGCCCTTGGTCTCCGACACCGGCAACTACAGCCCCGAGGCGGCCACCTTCAGCTTCACCATCACCATCATTGGCCTTCTCTGTAAGTTGGAATCAAATGGTTTTGGTGAAAAGCTACCTCTACAAACAAAATCTCTCTCCCTTTGCAGTTATGGTGGTGGTCATAATCCGCTACCTGCAGATCAGAGCCATCATCCTCGACCCGACCTTTATGCAGATGCTCAGCCACTTTTATGGCAACTTTACCGCCGCCGCCGAAAGTCTGCCACCACCACCACCACCACAAGACAGCAGTCAAGAAGTTACCGTCCCGGCGTACCGCCTTCGAAACAGCCAGGGAAATCGGAAGCTCTTCAACCAGGTCAATCAGCTGCTCTTCTGGGCGGGCATCGCCATCGCCTGCAGCTGCATGGCCACTGGAGCGTTTCGCTTCGCGGAGACCTTCATCTGGCACAACAGTGCCGCACTGGGCGTCTTCATGCTGACGCCGGTGTACATGGCCGGCAACACCTACCTCAGTGCGCTTTGGTGCAATGCGGTGAACAGCGTGGCCGTCTATCGGTACCGCTACTGGATCACCATTGCTACCTGTTTACTTGTCGGTGCCTTCACCGCCACCATTCTGGTGCTCTGTAAGTTTGTCGATGTTGATGTTTGTTGTTTATCTGACTTTGATGGATCCTCCCCGTAGGCGTCCTCTACCACGACTTCTACCTGAACCCGATGACGCGGCTCTTCTGGTCCTTCAGCAGCGACGGCTTCCTGCTGCACACCTTCAACTCCGCCGCCGAGTGGCTCTTCCTCCTCTCCATCGCCCCCTTTGCGTACACCTTCGTGGAGGACTTCTCCCGGCTGGGCTTCTCCGGCATGCGGCTGACCTTTCAGTTCTTCGCTGTTCACCCAAAACAAAACCGGGGCAGAACTTCGCCTCCTTCTCGAGGTTTGGCTGGTTCGGTGTCTGATGACGTGACGGAGAAGGAGGACTTTGAAGAGGTTGAGGATGATGAAACTTCAAAGAAGATGCGCGCAGCCGAATCGGACACCGAATTTGTGCCACCGGAGATAAACGTTGAGTTGGAAACGACGAACAACAGCAGTGCCGGTTCTCGAAGAGGCAGTGAACGAAGCATTTACTCAATCTCCAGCGTTGATAGTGGTTCTTTTTACACCGCTTCAGAAGGTAGCGTCGAAGACTCTGATAAATGATAAGATACTTTTTGTTGAAAAAATTTTTATC